CGTATTATAGATGATATATGCGTGTCGCTAAAAGAAACCCCGAAAATTTAAATATAAGTGTCATAACCCTGCTAAAAATATTCACAAAATTTGATTAATAAATTGTTATTGTTTAACTATAGAGTCTATATTCTATATAGTTATGAATTAATTACTACATAAAATAGTAATTAGTTATAAAGATCATGAATGTTTTTGCAAATGTGTATGCAATTAATTTCTTTTTATACAATGATTTTTTGTTTTTAAATTATATTATAATAATGATCTAAATATAAATTGACCTATTTTAATTGTTATCTCAATTTAAAAGAATATGAACGGCACTCGAAAGCGGAACACCTTTATTATTAATATGTAAATAACTAGGACCCGGAGCAATAATATTGCCATTCGGTGGCATAATCACACTCATTGTATATCCTTTATTTACAGGTTTAACATTTTGAACTTCACAAACGACATATCGTTGGGACATATGTACAGAATGTGTTACGAATCCATAATGTACTACTGCGGCTGTGAATTTTTGAGATGTGCCGGAAAGTTCAACAGTGACTTCTACAGTTTCACCATAACTCACATTGATGGGTTTTTTATTTATGTCACTGGAATTTTTTACGGATGTTATAGTACCGCGTGATACATCTGATGAAAGGTATGGTGGGCTGAAAAGTTCAACTCTAAATCTAAATATTACAAAATAATAAAGATAAATAATAAAAGATGTTAATAATATAGTATATAGTATATTAAAAAACAAATGTTTGTATAAAAATGGTAAACTTACTCAGTGGGGAATTTGACACCTTTTGTAATAATACTTGCTTGTGGACTACTACCAGCGACGAAAACTTTACCATTTGGTAGTAATGTGGCTACCGAATGATAAACCCTAGGTATCTGTTTCAAAAAAAAAATTGAATATTAAAATCTGGAAATAAATAATAAATAAATAACTATAAATATATATTTATAGTTATATTTATTTTATTTTATTTTTTTAAAAAAAAAAAAAAAAAATACCGTTGAAGGATCGAGTTTACTGAACCTTTTTCCCAAAGGTTTATTATCATCATACAAAACAGGGGTGAGAACCGCGTCATCAGCTTGCAAAACATTCCCCTTTCTAGCTAAAAAAAAGAAATACAATAGAATAATAAGTAAATGAAGAAATGAAGATGGTAATAAGTAAACGAAGAAGGATAACTTACTATAACCGGCAATTCCAATACCAGCACCATTTAAGAATAAAACTTTCCCATCAGCCAAAAGAACGGAATCAGGCATGACTCTTTCAAACCCACCAAAATCATCCATTTCCCATGTAGGATTCTTCAAAGATAAATCGATTTTACCACAAGAATTTGTTGCCTTATTTTTTACATCCATTTTTGTGTTACCACCACATACCAATATCTGAGCTTTATAATTGTCTTCAGGACGTAATGGTAACATCACAGAGGTACCGGTTAAAGGATAACTACGAGGACCACCTGGAAGCTTAGGAAGTTTCTTAATAACCTTATTGGTAGTCCAATCATAGATTATACTATCTTGGTTGGCAAAAATAAATAGTTGAGTTTGATCTTTAGGACCAGGCAATAGGTGTACAATAGGATAGAGATTGAATGGTAATGTATCAACAAGAAATTGGAAATGCTGAGGGCCCGGGTTTTTTTTGTTTTTCGGAAAAAATTCGAAAGTTGGATTATTGAATTTAGCCTCATTGACGGCTATAGATTTAATTGATCCACCAAGGATGAACACAGTTCCGTCTGAAAGTCTTGAAGTGATTGAAGTGAATGTATAAAAAATATATATATATATATATATATTTTTATATTTATATTTATAATTTATCATATTAGATATTATAGGAGTTGTTTACAAAATGCTAGTTAAAAAATTAGCGTGCATACGTTGTGGAAGTAGAATACCATCGATTCGTCGTCATGCCCTTAAGATCTTCTTTCCATTGACATTTCTTATCTTGGCAAGCTATAATAGTTCGAAGGCTTGAGAATCCATCACTATAATTCTTGTTCTATATAAATAAAACGTAAATATATTATATATATATACACTATATATGTAAAAAAAATACTGTAATCCATTATTATACGTATGTAACGCGAGAAAAAAGCATTTGCGATTTCTAATTTTAAGATAATTTATTATACTTTACAATAAGTATTATCAATCGTATTTGATTACATTAAAATCAGTAGTGATTAAATTGTTTTATTGCGGTTTGCAAAATTTTTAAATTTTGCAGATCAAGACAAACAACTCCGATATTTAGGCATCAAATCGTCATATCGGTGTTGTTTTAAGAAATCAGAAATCACTTGAGAAATCGCTTAAAAAATCAGGCGATTTTTTTTTCTTGATCTGCAAAATTTACAAAATTTTGCAAACCACAATAAAATTGGGCTTTATAATTATATATTTAAAATATTCTGTTGACCGATAATAAAAGATGTTAATAATGGCATTCATTTTAAAGGAGAATACATTAAACTTCCAAATAATAATCTTTGTTAAACTTTGAGGATCACTTCCAGTATAGGTCACTGCTCTACACCAATCTACGTACACCAATCTACACTAATGATTAATATACTATATATATCGATATATGTATTTTATTTTATATTAATTGTCGCAGCTGATGCTGAAAACGGCTGTTCCTGAAATTCGGACCTATTTTGATATGAAAAAAATTAAAAAATTTTTGTCCGCTTTTTTTAGGTTAGGTTAGGATTAGAGTTAGAATTGTTAATTAAAGAGTATATGTGAATTTTAGCAGGGTTATGACACTTATATTTAAATTTTCGGGGTTTCTTTTAGCGACACGCATATATCATCTATAATACGAGAGATCCAACTTTAGAAATGATAATCTCTTATGATGACAATTTATTTTATTAATAAATCGAGAGCCAAAAACGTCAATCGAAAATATTATTCTTTTCTCTTCAGGGTTAATGACGAAAACGGAATTTCGATTGGAGAACTACAACTGACGAATATATTAGAACATTGTCTATGTATATTATATTGTATTCAGCTTCTAGAATTAACTATGTATTTTTTTAATTTAAACGATCGTAGGAATGTTCTTTCGTCAATGTAAATTTATTCATAAAAAAGAACTTTTGACAATCCTTTACTCTATTTTTAATTTTGAAAGGAAATCCTTTATTACCCTTTTAGTTATGATTGATCATTTTTGAATCCGTGTAACCTTTAGTTATTAACTTTTTAGTTTCATACTATACAGCTATAAAAAACATTATATACGTATCGATACATGCAATTAATATATTGTCTCGGATCTCAATAAATGCGTTTCATCCTTTGTCACATGTGTTATAAAAATTGTTCTCATAATTTATATTATGATTCAGAAGCCGGAATCATAATGAATTTAATATAAATAACTGGATTTCCTCGAATGGACCTGTTTTTTAATCCAGAGTTTCGTTCGAAATTTATTTTAGAAATTAACGAGAGAATTCAACCTTTCCTTATTACCAAATCCTTTTTTTGATAAAAAGGAGAATCCATTAAGAAATAGAAGTTAATAATCACTAATTATTAACTAATCATTTTTTACTTTCCTTTAACAATATATTAAAAAAAATTAAAAAATGATCCGATCAAATTTTTCCATTCGCACAGTTTCAATATTTATTTTATTGGCTGCTTTATGCTCAAATGTTTCAAGCGTACCAACAAAAAGATGTAAGTAACCACAAAAATGCATATCTTTTAAATAATGATTTGCAATATTTTTTTATTAATTCTTGTGAATTTTTTGAACAGCTTCTTCTGGTTTTGAAATTCTGGATTCGTAAGTTTACTATTACATTTATACCGTTTATTGATATTTACCATAAATTCTTCAAAATAAATAATTCGATCTTTTAATTCTCGATTTCTAATGATAGAGACCGAGAAACTGGCATAGCTGCTATGCACATTGTAGTTACTGCTTCAAATAAAATAATCATAATAGACAAAGGTAATTTACAAAATAAAAATACAATCAATATACTTTACTTCTTTACCTAACTTTTTTTTAAATTTTTTTATTTATTTATTTTATTTTATTTTATTTAATAGTTCAAAATAATACATTCCATTTACCCGACGGTCGTACGGCCAGCTCGGTTGAATATGATTTAGAGACTGGTGACAAACGTTCCTTACCTCTAGTATCAAATACTTTTTGTTCTTCGGGTTCGTTCCTTAAAGATAATACTTTGCTTAGTACCGGTGGTGCGGAACAAATTAAGGTAATTACATACATATAATAATGGATTACAGTATTTTTTTTACATATATAGTGTATATATATATAATATATTTACGTTTTATTTATATAG